AGCCATTGACCTAGGAGCATGCAAAAAAATAGCCAGATATACTGAGCTTAAGTACCCTAAAGTCTGCGTTGAAATGACCCTCTGTTTTTCCCATAAAATACAAAGATTATATAGGGAAATACAACTGGTCAGTTTTGACCGCTTTACGAAGTTTTCCCAGATATGCCGAGTTTTTTGTGACACCCCTAGGTGTTCTTCTACAACCTCACAAAATATCAAGGGGGGTCGTCGGAGGAAATTTTTTTTCGTAATATAGCTCATATAAAGAGAATTTCACTCGCGGTCACTTTTTAGCCCTCGTCGAGGGCTTTGAGTGTAACCGACAGTTTTCCCTAAAGGTCAAGCCATTGACCTAGGAGCATGCAAAAAATTAGCCAGATATACTTAGCTTAAGTACCCCAAAGTCTGCGTTGAAATGACCCTCTGTTTTTCCCATAAAATACAAAGATTATATGGGGAAATACAACTGGTCAGTTTTGACCGCTTTACGAAGTTTTCCCAGATATGCCGAGTTTTTTGTGACACCCCTAGGTGTTCTTCTACCACCTCACAAAATATCAAGGGGGGTCGTCGGAGGAAATTTTTTTTCGTAATAGAGCTCATATAAAGAGAATTTCACTCGCGGTCACTTTTTAGCCCTCGTCGAGGGCTTTGAGTGTAACCGACAGTTTTCCCTAAAGGTCAAGCCATTTACCTAAATGTATGCTAAAAATTAGCCAGATATACTGAGTTTAATTACCCTAAAATCTGCGTTGAAATGACCCTATGTTTTTCCCATAAAATACAAAGATTATATAGGGAAATACGACTGGTCAGTTTTGACCCCTTTACGAAGTTTTCCCAGATATGCCGAGTTTTTTGTGACACCCCAAGGCGTTCTCCTACCACCTCACAAAATTTCAAGGGGGGTCGTCGGAGGAAATTTTTTTTCGTAATAGAGCTCATATAAAGAGAATTTCACTCGCGGTCACTTTTTAGCCCTCGTCGAGGGCTTTGAGTGAGACCGACAGGTCTGCCCTACGGCCAAGCCATTTACCTATAAACATGCCAAAAATTAGCTAGATGTAAAGAGCGTAAGTGCCCTAAAATCCGTTTTGAAATGACCCTCTGTTTTTCCCGTAAAATACAAAGATTATATAGGGAAATACGACTGGTCAGTTTTGACCCCTTTACGAAGTTTTCCCAGATATGCCGAGTTTTTTGTGACACCCCAAGGCGTTCTCCTACCACCTCACAAAATTTCAAGGGGGGTCGTCGGAGGAAATTTTTTTTCGTAATAGAGCTCATATAAAGAGAATTTCACTCGCGGTCACTTTTTAGCCCTCGTCGAGGGCTTTGAGTGTAACCGACAGTTTTCCCTAAAGGTCAAGCCATTGACCTAGGAGCATGCAAAAAAATAGCCAGATATACTGAGCTTAAGTACCCTAAAGTCTGCGTTGAAATGACCCTCTGTTTTTCCCATAAAATACAAAGATTATATAGGGAAATACAACTGGTCAGTTTTGACCGCTTTACGAAGTTTTCCCAGATATGCCGAGTTTTTTGTGACACCCCTAGGTGTTCTTCTACAACCTCACAAAATATCAAGGGGGGTCGTCGGAGGAAATTTTTTTTCGTAATATAGCTCATATAAAGAGAATTTCACTCGCGGTCACTTTTTAGCCCTCGTCGAGGGCTTTGAGTGTAACCGACAGTTTTCCCTAAAGGTCAAGCCATTGACCTAGGAGCATGCAAAAAATTAGCCAGATATACTTAGCTTAAGTACCCCAAAGTCTGCGTTGAAATGACCCTCTGTTTTTCCCATAAAATACAAAGATTATATGGGGAAATACAACTGGTCAGTTTTGACCGCTTTACGAAGTTTTCCCAGATATGCCGAGTTTTTTGTGACACCCCTAGGTGTTCTTCTACCACCTCACAAAATATCAAGGGGGGTCGTCGGAGGAAATTTTTTTTCGTAATAGAGCTCATATAAAGAGAATTTCACTCGCGGTCACTTTTTAGCCCTCGTCGAGGGCTTTGAGTGTAACCGACAGTTTTCCCTAAAGGTCAAGCCATTTACCTAAATGTATGCTAAAAATTAGCCAGATATACTGAGTTTAATTACCCTAAAATCTGCGTTGAAATGACCCTATGTTTTTCCCATAAAATACAAAGATTATATAGGGAAATACGACTGGTCAGTTTTGACCCCTTTACGAAGTTTTCCCAGATATGCCGAGTTTTTTGTGACACCCCAAGGCGTTCTCCTACCACCTCACAAAATTTCAAGGGGGGTCGTCGGAGGAAATTTTTTTTCGTAATAGAGCTCATATAAAGAGAATTTCACTCGCGGTCACTTTTTAGCCCTCGTCGAGGGCTTTGAGTGAGACCGACAGGTCTGCCCTACGGCCAAGCCATTTACCTATAAACATGCCAAAAATTAGCTAGATGTAAAGAGCGTAAGTGCCCTAAAATCCGTTTTGAAATGACCCTCTGTTTTTCCCGTAAAATACAAAGATTATATAGGGAAATACGACTGGTCAGTTTTGACCCCTTTACGAAGTTTTCCCAGATATGCCGAGTTTTTTGTGACACCCCAAGGCGTTCTCCTACCACCTCACAAAATTTCAAGGGGGGTCGTCGGAGGAAATTTTTTTTCGTAATAGAGCTCATATAAAGAGAATTTCACTCGCGGTCACTTTTTAGCCCTCGTCGAGGGCTTTGAGTGAGACCGACAGGTCTGCCCTACGGCCAAGCCATTTACCTATAAACATGCCAAAAATTAGCCAGATGTAAAGAGGGTAAGTGCCCTAAAATCCGTTTTGAAATGACCCTCTGTTTTTCCCGTAAAATACAAAGATTATATAGGGAAATACGACTGGTCAGTTTTGACCCATTTCCCGATTTTTCCCGGACATGGCGAGTTTTTTGTGACACCCCAAGACGTTCTCCTACCACCTCACA